ACCTGGGGAAGGTGGGACGTTTGGGAAACCCCTCACCAACTGGACATGTCGCAGACATCCGACCGATGCTTTTCATATCGACCAAGTCTCAAGGCCCAAACCCTTTGGGCGCCTCTGCATGTCAGGACAGCAAGAAGGTGAACACCTTCAAGAAAGTTCCTTCTGGCAAGCTGGTGGTAGGCGCTGCAGATGTTGTTGAAGTGCTGATGTGCTTTCAAAGAGTCTTTAATGCTTGAGCATGTTTCTTTAGCCAGAAGATTCTCAAACGTTGTCTCCTTCTCCAGAGTTGTGCCCGATAGTCACATGGCCTTTTGTTGGCGAAGCCATCAAAACCAACGTCTGAACAAGATGTGCAGTTGTTTTCAGTGCTGCCGCTTCAAGGCGTTCTTGTGTCCTAAATGATGCATTTATTCCTGATTTTGACACATGATGGAACTGAAAGTATTCATGTTTCACCCAGCCAAAAACAAAAAGCACCTAGCCAAACTCACACCCCCGGCCCTCGATCCACCGCCCTTCATGCACTCAGGGCTTCCCTTTGAATGGGCTGCGAGGTTGCTGGAGAAGCGCCTCGGAGAACGGACCGAGGATCGCGTTGCGGATGGCGCGGAGAACGGATGGCGCGCCGCGTGCTCACGTTGCGGATGGCGCGTGACGGATGGCATTTTCGGTTCTCCAGTGTTTCGGTTCTCCAGTGTTCAGTTGTTCACACAGTTGCATGTGAATGAGATTGAATGAGTCTTCCGGTCGTAGCGACGTATGGAACCTTTCGGGGTGCCACGTCAGCTCGCTCGAATGACGTGGCAAATGTTCACGTGTCTCATCTTCATTTCAGGCCCTTCATTTCAAGAGGATCAAGTCAGGCAGCAAAGGACTTCTTTTGCCGCGGCGTTGCTGGGTGCTTTGTCGTTTCAAAAGGTTCCTTCCTGCATCTTCCTGCGAAGATAGTCGCCAGACATTGCACACTCTTTCACAGGTACATGAGTAGGTACCACCTGGAAACTCAAACAACCAGACACAAATGGATGTTTTCCAAACAGTGTTCCTTCCTACTAATAAAGGATCCTAATTGCAATATTGGAACAACATGGAACAACCATTTGTTTCTGGTTGTATGGGTTTCCAGGCAGATGCTTCATGTATGGAATACATGCATTATTGACCCCGTTTCGATTCCACCATCCCATATAATCGGCAAATATGCCAGTCCCATTAGTCGTCTTTGGATAGTCTTTGGGATAGTCTTCAGCTTGGACTTCTCGACTGTGTCGCATGGCACATGTTTTTCTTCATTTCACATGTGTGCCTGAGGAACAAGATCAACAAGGCGAGCGACGTCTTGGACAGCAGAGCGACGTCTTGGACTGGTGAGGTCCAGTCGACCGCCCAGCCGTCGATGCCATGCGAAGAGGTCATTCAGTGGTCATAGACTGGAGTTGCCTTTGGGGTGACGGTCAGAGTCCGCACCCGGTGATGGGAATGTCCACCTGGACCGACTGCGCGCCTTCCAGGCTGCATTTCTATCGTTACTATTGGAAGTCGATAATTGAACCATATTGAACCCATGGTTGGCAATCAAGTTCCTGTTTGGGTGTGGTGCTTTGCAAGTAAACTGCTGCAAGGTGAAGGTTCTGTGCCATGTGAACCAGATTTGGACCATCCACCTATCTATCCTGTCCTGTCCTATCCTATCTATCTAATGGACATACATATATATATATATACACACATGTAATTCACTGTCAACACTTAACAGGCTCTTCTTTGTGTGGCGTGGCACACACACAACCCAGTCTCCAAGGGTAAGTTTGTCCAAGATTAACATGAGGATGCTGCCCCTGCTGCGCTGTCCAGGCAGATGCGAAGAAAGCCTGAGATGTTGAGGTCTAGCGCAGGGATGGTCAAGACATGTCAAGACACTAGCAATTGAAGATGGACATGCATGGTGGCAACAACTGATATGGCCCTGATGCAGTGGCTACTTCGGACTGCGAAAGCAACAGGTCATTTTAGACCAAAATCAATCCTGTGTGGATTTGTTTACACATACGAGCCCCCAATGTCCCGTGTCATTGTTGAGCCGTGTATTCTGACCATCCCTCATGATGTACAGATGCGGCAGAGCTTGGAGATGCTGTTCTCAGTTGGAAATGGATAGCATATCAATATCCAAGTTCTGATTTTGGGAGGGACTGTCAGATTTCGGGCCTGTCTTGTGTGCGCTAGACAAGAATACCTTGAGTAAGGCATCCGCAGTATCCCGTGGTATCCCGTGGTATCCCCCAAGGCTTCAATTTAACTCCTGGAAGGTGCTTACATAGGATGTGGAGAGTCTGACTAACTTCTGAAGAAACCTTGGAAACCCACGGGGTTTATTACCTGGGTTTCTCTTAAGTCTTAAGTAGTTCATCGGACTTCACCACATCACATGGCACAGCACTTCCCACGCCACTCTGCCATGTAGCTTTGGAACACAGCTTGGGCCCCTCTCAGGGATTGGGCAGCTGACTTGGTTACAATGGTTTTTTTGCAAAGACAGAAAACCCAGAAACTTATTTTTCCCTAGGGCTCCAAGTGCCTCCTCAGAAGGTATTTGGACCCTCTAAATCCACCCCAGTCCCACCTTCTTGGAAGGCTAGACTGGAGCTCTAGGGCGGGGAACGTCAACATTGCCTGTTTCTTGATCGCTTTCCGTCTTTGACCCACCCCCCAAGGCTCCAAACGCAGATTCTGTGGACAGATCATCGCTTCCTCAGGTGTCGCAGACTTGCCATTGGTTGTTTTGTTGGAAGATGTTGCCTACTTGATACGCTCCGATCGATCCATACAATCTCAAAATCCTAGTTGAAGCACTCCAAATACTCAAAGCCACAAACTCTTCTTCCCAGTCCAGCTGGCCTTGCCGTGCTGAGCCAAGCATCTCCTGAGCCGAAGCGTCCTGCATGGCCCCTCAGTTGCGGTAGGCGGCCACGGACCACCCGACCTCCTCTCCAACTCCGGTAGATTCATGGAACCAAAGGGGGTTCCTACCCGAGACGCTCCATGGGACTGGAATTGATATGCCTGCACTGCATTGACCCCCTCAAACCACCCCTGGCCTGATCGGTACGCCAGTCCCATTGTATATGAGTTTGGCAGCGTGACCTGAACCGATCGCCGGCTTTGTTTGTGGCAGATTCCGCCGGTTTAGGTGGCCAGGCGGCCAGGGGGAGTTGATTCGATGCTGCACCGATCTGTGACACCTTGAAGACTTGAAGAAACTCCTTGAGACACCTGGAAGTCCTTGAAGACTTGGAGTCAGCTGACAATTACTGTTCGGTTCGAGAGCGAGTGCCCTGGCAGTGGGTTTGGAGGAGCTGTGAGGAAGGGCTGCTCGTGGCGCGCGCAGGCTGATCATTGTAGGATACACCTGAGCCAGCTCAGTTCGCCATGACAGAAGTATCATGAAATGTCGAGCTTTTGTCAGTTGAGCTGATGAAGTCTTTTGACTGTTGTTTCTATGTTAGAATGACCTAGCAGAAAGCCGGTTTGCCTGTGGCTTGCCCTGTGTACTAAGCGTCACCGTCCGACGTACAACACCGTAGATATGAAGCATTTAAGTGTCATGCTGGTTTGTGTTCATGTGACCACACCTTGTTTCTCACTGAAAAGACTCAAAAGGACTCAAAAGGCATGTTTCTCCTGAAATGGGCTAGTCGAATTTGATGATTTCCAGTTCCAAGATGTTCCAAGTAGGTGCTATGGACACTCCATGCACACAATACTATTAAATATATTATACATTGACCCCACCAAAATCCAAAGGAATGAGGGTGGCTGGATCCAGATTGGAATCTCTATTGCTACGGCGAAACTTCCCTCATTCCCCAGCGGCCACTGGCATCGCTACGGACGTAACAAGAAGCTAGTAGTCACAAGGGCGTTGCTACGAACGTAGCAAGGGCCGTACACAACAGTCAGAACATTGGCACGTTGCGAACTGCTGGCTGGGCGTGGCTGGGCCATTGAGGCTGCTTCGTGGCCCCAGAAGATGCTTGTGCAAATCGAATCGTGAGCCGCCCCCGAACCGCCCCCCGAGACCATCCGAGAGAGTGGGAGAAGAGAATCATGTCAGAATCCACTTCCCTATAATTGGGATAGTTTTTGACATCACAGTTCTATATATATATTAAATTGGAATATACAAATATATATATATATATATATTTATTGTTCTACAAAAAAATATGTGTTGAATTGATGACAATCACTTCTTTGGGGGATCACATGGCCAGTCTAGAGTGGATGACATTCTACGGTCCATTCATCGAAGGGACCAACGAATGGCAATTCGGAGTTGGCACTTCGTTGGTCCCTTGGCGAACCTTCTCTGCCCTTGGCGAATCCGTGCGGAGCCGACGAACGGGCAGGGGGGCAGGGTAGTAGGGCCTGAGGCCCCAACCACCGATCTCCGCAGGGTCCAGAGGGACCCATCTGAACCAGATCAGCCCCTTTCCAAAGCAGATCGGGCCCAGATTCTCAGGGAGAGGTGAAGGTGCTGCGGATCCAAGCCTTGCGGTTCTGCAGGGTCAAATAAATCCATGGCTGTAGTTGATGCTTTTGAAGATATGCACAAGCATCATGTCAATGCACAAGATTCTCAGAGAAATGTCTCACTGCACATCGTCGAGGATCATACAGATGCTCTTGGTGCCCAAAAAGGAACCATGGATAGAGTCTCAAGGGCATATATACTAAATAGTTTTGATAATTGAAATATACACAACACCTTGTAGCACAAACATGTTTGAAGTCAGAAAGCCTCCAAACAACTGACCACAGTTTCAAGACCAAGTTGTCACACATCGCCAAGCCCAAATGACGAGTCTACTTGGAGACATGCGATTTCAGACAGAGCTCCTGCTGAGAACTTCTCAAAGCATGCAAGGTCGATATAAGCAACTTCAAAGGCCTCACTGCTTGATCCTTCTTCGGAAGGGTGCACTCTGCCTTCTCACTAGGAAGATGAGTCGCTCGCGGACAAGAGGAGTAAGATCATGGCAGGGAGGCCCAGCAAGGCCAACATTGCAAATGTTGCAGCATCCTGCATTGAGAGGTGACTTCTAGACCCTAGACCCATATTTGTATCCATAATATGTATGTACAATAGTCGATTACAATATTGCTAAGGATGCCCCATTCATGTGAATCCAAACGGATCTTCTTCACAAGGAAGCATCCACTGTATTTACTGTACAAGTCCTTCGCTAAGTGCACTCAATAGGAATGAGTGGTCCTCAAGATCCCCTCGAGGCCTGCGACACCATGACGAGTCAAGCGGCGGTTCAAGTTGCTATGGATCTGATTTCTGCAGCCACGTTTTACCTTTAAATGTTGAATCAGCCTGCTCCAAGAATCCGCGCCTGACTGCTATGGGAACGGTTTGCTTCGGGTTCGGCACCCTTGCGATTCGGTGTGCGACCTCCTCGAGACAAAGGAACTTAGGGAAGGTTACAAGTGCTCGCCGGGACTGCTCACCCTCTCGGTTTTCCTGAAACAGAAAGGTTCATCATGTTTTCTGGTGATGGTCGTGCTTCCTTCGACCCTGCTTCGGATGGTAGACCCGGCGAGTCCCACCCTTCGAAGTCGAAGAAAGAAGCCGCCAAGCCAATGTTTTTGTTGATTAGTTCTGTAGCATTGGCCACCAAGCAATTCATATGGACATCTCGAAAAACCTGTGCGCATGTGTTTCTGAAAACGTGGACAACCTGCAAAACCTTTTTTTTCGGATTGGTTTCCCCCTAAATTATAAAACCCAGCCAGAGAGGTGCGAACAGATGGAAAAAATAGGAGGAACTAAGAGGGTGAAGCCTCCTTTTTTTTCAAGGCAAAAGCGGTTCGGGAGAAGCCGTTGTTCCTGTTCGGTCCTGTCACTGCAGAAAGCACCCGGGCTAAGCTTTCTCTCGTTCCCCAAGGCCTTGCAGAACATCTTCCGCCCCTTGGAACGGAGCGGAGCGGAGCGGCGAGCAACACGCTGGGGGGGGGCATCCAGCTTGCGAAACAGGGAGCTCCACAGGGAGTTCTTCAAGCCCTTCCTAAGTCTTAGTAAAGTGACTTGTAATGCCGATCTCGAAACAAGTGCTACCTGACCAAGATAAGAACAATTGGATTTGGCTTTGCAACATCGGTGAGTTGTGATGAATTATGATGATTCATGAACCAATGTCTGACTTGTTCAGTTTCTAAAACCATTAGACAACCAGTCGAAAGGTGAAAGGAGGTGCCCGGAAGTTGTGGGTTCATCTTGGATATCTTGGGAATGTTTGGTGTTGGTGCAACGTTAGCACTTTAAACTGTAATAGTCATGTGGAGTTGTGGGGAGCCTTCTGCTCCACCAGGGATTGTTTTCGAGTCAAGATGCAAGAAACGGATATGGGATGATAGGGGTGTGTATCGGAACCAAAAGTTGATTGTATCCTCCCTAATTCAATGCACACACACACACATGCAAGCTGTTGAAACAACTACCCAGGCCCACAATTGGCGATCAGACAAAAGAGTCTTTTTGACAAAAGGGACTGTGGATAGGCTGGGATACAGCCTGATAGGCTAGCTGTTCAGGATTCAGCTAAGGAGCCTTCCAACATTGCAAAGTCCATGGTGTGAGACACGGTTCTCCAGAATATTTGAGGAAGTGGGGCCACAGGATGCACTGAGAAAAAAACAAATGTCTCGCACGTGCAGCACTTGTTGTGTGTTCATGGATATATTTTTTTTGCGCACTCACATACAGTTAACAAAGTGTTTACACCCTGGAAGACTAACATGGACCCTGAAAACCACCGGTTGGAAGAGGAAAACACTCTTCCAGGGGGGCCATTGTCAGGGTCTATGTTAGTTGACTCGGGAGTGTAAATCTTCCGTTCAAATGGCACCACCGCTGCGCTCAAGTTTCTGTCAGCTCAACCACTTTCTGTGGGTTCATTGTCTATGTCCAGTACCCTTCGATTCCTGAGACATGAACCAGAAACAGGTCCGACTGTACCCATTGGTCTGAGATACTAAGCAAAAATCGGGTAGATCCGAACCTGGTTAAACCCTAATCCCTTAACCTCCTGGATTCCGAACCTGGAGACCGGGATCAGTCGACCGAGGATTGGAGCCCCTCTACAAGCGCGGACTCTTGACGCAGGTGGACGACCGGAGCTCGAACGCAGCGGAAAACAGCGAGCGAGCTCGAACGAACGCGGCGGAAATTGTCCCCCCTGACTGGGCAACTGAACGTGAGGGGAGGCATGTTGCTGGCCTGGGACTTGGCCATGTAGAACTGGATTTGACATTTGTGAAATATATGTGTGAATGTTTTGGTGTCAAAGGATTGAACCATGAGCCGGACATGTGGAGGAAGCAGGGCGGCCAGGGATGGACACAAGGGGTATATCGGATATATGATTGATGATCTATGTAATCCAACGTGTCAGCCCCGCTGGTCCAGCGCTCCCCCCTCATGCACTCAATTCGTTTCACCCACTCGGTGTACTCGGTGTACTCAACGTTTGGATTTGCATTGCCAGGCAGCAGTACATGCACAACTCAATGCCTGAAGGTGCGGGAAGGATCCGGTGGAAGCGTCCAGGATCCGGTGCAGACGCATGGAGGGTGCAGCCGGGAACGAACCTTCCCAGACCATCCATGTGTGGAAGAGCATGATACATTTAGCATCATTTAGCGTACCCCATTACTTTGTATTTATATGACTCTTTGAGTAACTTCCATAACTTTTGCCGTGACGGGCTGGGCCTAGGCTTGGGATTTTGTGGTGCTCTTACGTCAGACATCCGGTGAACATGCTTCGCACGTGCATGCTCGTTCGGTCGTGCTGTTCGGTCTGGTTGTGTGGATGGCAGGTCAAGACGGTGTGTTCAGTGACTCCAGGACTGGAGCATCGAAGCAGCCTTTAGGACCTACGAACGACTTCAGGAGACTCAAAAGGAGTCGACAAGGAAACTACTCCAGTCGACAGCGTCCCCAAAAGGGGCTATACACAATTTGTTTCTGGGATGTGCTGTGGGCATTGAAAGACCATTCTTTGGCGTGGTACCTACGTATACTCGCCTGGATATATCTGGAAAATTCTGAAAAGATTTGGAACCTATATATACAGCTCCCCCTTACAGATCCTTCAAGCGACGAAACCAAGTACCTTCTGTGGAGTTCATTCCCAGCCTGAGCCGGCGCGCCTGGTCCCAGCGCCTTGCGCCCGTGGGTCCGCTCGGCCGGGGGTCGGTCGCAGCGACCGAAGGGTGTCAGCGACCTGCAGATCGGGTGATGTTTTTGACGAACTGGGCGAAGTAGGGCTCGAAGCGTACCTCGATATTTACGACCTACTCGGCTACGACCTTGACCTTATGCCCCTATGAAGCCAGATGGTGCTGATGACCCATGGAACTCGATGGAACACTGACAAGGGGTGCTTGGTGACTTGGTGATAGATGCCGTTGTGAGCATTGAGACATGTTCCAACTTCCCCACGCGGATTTCCGCAGACAGCGACCGAATTCGGTGGCCTAGAAAGACTCGGAGCAGCTCCGCAGGCAGCTCCGCAGGCCGGAACCGAGCCACCTGCTCCACGCCACTGAGCCACCTGCTGCTGGGAAGCGCCAGTAGACCAAGCGTCGGCCCGGTGCTTGAGGCGGTGACCCCCTGAGAGATGCACGGCCCAGTCCCCGATGGGCTGAAATCGGTGCCAAAAAACGGGGTGAGCTTGAAGTGTTCCACTCAAGCAAGAGAGGTAACCTGTGGTCAGCTCTTTGGTGTCTCTAAAGCAGAACACGGCTCACCGGGCTGTCCAAGGGGCTGCACCCAACTTTTAAGATATGTCAGGCTTCGTCGATTGCTGTGGAGTAGAGACAGCAGCAAATCGAGTTGCATTGAACATTGCCCTCAAGTTTGCCTTCAGCCTTCAGTTTTCATGCCCAGACATGTCGGATGCAAAGACATGCCCTGCTTCCATGCGAGCCATAAACGAGCATTTGGTTCTTGAAAGTGACTGTCGTCCAACCACTTTTGCAACTCCACAAATCACCCAACAGTGGTCACACGGTCACAAATCACCACTCAAAAAATCAATATCACTTTGTCAGCCGAGACGACATTTTTCCTTGACTGTGAGGCAGGTGCCAGAAAGCGATCTTAGCGTTTTTTCCACCCGGCAAGACCCGCAGTGGCCAAAAACAACCTTTTTCCCTGAGCGTCCCAACCAGCTTCTTGTGAAACCAACTTAGCCCCATAGGCCGACTCCAGAGATGAGGGCCGACTCCTGAGCCAGCTCTTATCGGTTGCCGGTCACGGAAAACCAAGTCCTTTCGGTCTCACCGGGTCTTTCGGTAATCCCGATGTGCAGTTCCTCGAGCAATGATTTTACCGCATCGACGAAGCGACGAAGTGGTGAATTTCTTTCGATTCTTCGACTGTTTAACAGCTTGTGTTCAGGCGTGCCTCTTTGGGGATGCTTCTGTGGATTGAAGCTACTGAAGATCGCAGTTCTCGTGCCCAGGAAGTTTCTGCCTGGGCGCCACACCGCAACATTTAGGAAGCGATTTGGTTGTTTCCATAAATCATGGTGCTAGTCACTTTAGGTAAGACACATGTTGAGCTCCATCCAAGACATAGATTGAAACATACCCTGGAAACATACCTCTTTATAAAGTGACACTATGCTTGTCATGTGTGTTGATGTTGAGTTGTATTGCTGGTATCTAATCATCGGCTTCAAGCCTCAGTCTGGCTCACACCGGATTTCCTTGTGAGGGAAGAGAGATGGCTCACAGCCGCTATGTGCTATGTGACAATCTTTGTGCTGTCAGAGGCATCAAACAGGTACAGTTCAGCCGCAGCCTTCATTTTTGCTGTGGTGGTACTTGAAGCTTTTGAAAGAACACTGTCGAAACATACAACCCCCATCAACCCCCCTGTTTAACATGCATTGCCGCTACTCTATGTGCGGAAGCTATACCATTTGTACTGGCGGTGGTTGGGTGCTAAATCTAGCACATGCTAAAGTAATCACAGGGATGCCTTGGGATGTCGAAAGCCTGCATCAAATGTGCACTACCGATGGGGCCCGACCTGTCTGCCGATGCCCTTTCGATGTACCAACCACTTAAGGAAGCACGGCGCCACGCTATATCTGCAGCTGGCACAAACGCTTGGTATGTTTCCCTTCTCAGTTTGTTTGAGTTGCTGCTTGCACCGACCTGTTTTGCAGCTGAACTGGAAGAATTGGTTGTCGCCCAATGGACCTATGGATCGAGTCGCTGCTATCCTTTGGCTGCCTGCTTTTGTGAAGCTGCAGTCAAAAGGTAGCGGTTGTGGTGTTGTTGTCCCGGGTCTTAAGAGCTGCAACACGCCTGGTGTTGGAGAGCAGCCCGGCTGTTTGTGACCCAAGACTGTGGCTGAAAGAGATGCGCTGCAAGACCCTAAAATTTCCATCCACTGAATAGCTTTCTCACAGCAGTGACTAACTAACCGATGCCCCAACCGATGCTTGGACTATTGTACAACCGTGTAGCCACTACACTTTGAATATGTTTGTGCCCATGGAAGAGCGACTCCCCCACAACTTGTACAACCACTCCTGTACTTAATTCGTGCCCATTGTGGTGTGCCAAATTATGGCAAGCTTGATGCCTTGCTGAGGGTAACAAGTAGACCTGCTTTGCAGCCAACCCTCAAAACCTGCATAACCGATGGGGGCCGGCCCATTCAAGGCAATGTCCCCAGGCCAGATACCTGATTTCGTCCGGCGCTCATAAATAGAAACTTGCGAGGCTTGAGGAACGAAGTTCAATCCCTTGTGCGGTTGCTGTAGAGGCGTGGAACACCAGGCACCTACCCCAACGCCCAAATTGGTAACTCAAGAACACTTGTGCTTGACAACTTGCAACGAACTGTAGGTATGGCATCGTATAGCTGTTGCAGCATATATAGGGATCAATTTGGACCCAACACCAGGACAACAACAATCCGATGAGTTTTTTCGTCAATATGAAACATTGGTGTTTATTTGCTTGACATGGGCATGGGTTGCTAGGCGCTTGCTGACTTTAGATATAGGTCCTTGGAGCTCTTGACATCCACAGAGACCCCAACAGGCGCGCAGTTCTAAGAATGGCGCTTCGCAGGTGAAACTCGTCTTTCACGAAACCTTGCATGTTGGTGAATCCTGCGATGGACTGACCACCGTTGCATTGGTTGAATCAAAGATTCTGTGTCGCCCGAAGAAACCTGGTGGCAATGTCATCATCAACACCTGTGATCAAATCTCCCTTCTTCTCATCTTCTCCCCATAAATCCCAGTTGTTGCAAGGTGTTCTAGGAATTTGGGCCATGGAAGGTCGCAACTGAGTACGGAAGCGGTGGACCATGCGGTTTTCAACAGATCAATGTGCCTTGTGCCACCAATCAAAGATCCTCAAACTCAGGTGCTTCTTTGGTATCATGGCTGCCTATGGCTCATCCATGGATTCCACGTCTTCTCAACAAGGCGAACGCGAGCCAATCACAACCAAGATGTTGGTCACCAGAACCTAACAAGATTCACATTCGAAGTCCGATGAAAGTGGTCTCACCAGCAGTCACATGGATAGGGGTGCGATCCGAGGAAGTCGGTGTGCCCATTACATCCACTCACTGGATGGGACGAGGCAAACCACCCCGAGCTCTGTGACTCCTGGCACCCAGATTTGATACTTCGATGCGTAGGGCCCACGTAGGAGACCACGGACCACGCGTGCAGGCGCGTGAAGGCGAGCAGACACGATGGACGCAGAGCTCACCTGTGGAGCGCGGCGGACCCTTTTGAGGGTTCGAGTCTTAGGAGACGATGAGGTATTTGTTTTTTGAAGCGAACGTGGTGGAAATGAGGGCGCATGCGACAGCTGCCAACCGAAGCGAATCCAGAGTTGAGAAGTGAATAGCCACACTGGGAAACACGCATCGAGGATGCATCACTCAGCCACTTGGACACATTGTATGCGTCAGAAAAACATAGAACACCATACCCCTATGGATCCACATACCTTCTCAGAAGGTAATTGGACCCTCCAAGCCTACCTAAATAGTCTCCAATCACCTTCTCAGAAGGTATGTGGATCCATAGGGTACAGTAACACAGTATAATATACATCTTGGTCCACTGGTGCGCCAGAACTGCCCAACCGCAGAGTAGCTGCAACGACCCTGGATGCGCAGCGCCGGCGCGCACGCGCGGCACGCCCTCGCCGCCCCGAGCGACGGCCAGAGACGAGGTTCCGCAACGAGCGATGCGCCTCAGCCGACAGCGAAAGCCAAAAAGCGGGCGCCCGCTATGCCCAAGGTACGCCCAAAGCAGTTGGACCCTCCAAAGCTTCAAAGCAACGCTCCTCAGAGATCAGTTCAGAGATCCCCAAGTACCGAAGTACCTTCTCAAAGGGTCTGTGGAATACTAGGGATCAACATTTTTCAGTGGGTAGACTCCGGTAGACTCAGACTCTTCTACACATAGCTCAGGACGTGCACCTGGAGCATCCAGCTCCATTGGGTGTCCTGCTTGGAGATCCTATGTGTTGGGAAGTTTGGCCAGGACATCCATTGGCCCCTTGGATGATCCTGATCCTGATACGTTTGTTATTGTTTGTTCCCGTTTGGGCTGGCCTACCTCCGTTTCGGTTCGGTGGTTAGGGTGGGTGCCAGGGGGGTCGAATACCATCGAACCTGAGGAGATGGGCCAGGAGCCCTGGGGGTTTATGGTTTTGTGTTGTCCAGACACTCCTGGATCCTCTGGAAACCTTCGGACTGGGGGAGGTCAGCAGGTGATGGGACCGAAGGATGCAAGACGTACGTCGGGCCAACGTGCCAAATGCAGATGGCCATGGGTGACGTACTCGGGTGTGTGCTTTGGGGAGGCGTACTTGGAGCGGCCAAGTGTGAGACAAGAGGAGCACGTTCCATATTCCATGGCATTGCAGATGCTCAGAGTCCAGGTTACTGTGGACTAGAAGGACACGAAGGTCAGGAGGGTTCTTTGCACCCGCACCGTGCTGGTCTCATGTAGCACTCGATCAGCTTTCTTGGTGACATGAGACGAAATGCATCGAAAGGCACTTTCTTGGGGCCAACACACTGCGTCCGCAGGGGGAGCAGGTGAGTGTCCAACACCACTCCGTGCACGTCCCGCACGTGCACGTCCCACACGGGTGACGAACGGACCATAGAGACTGATCGGAGGAGGATCGGGGATGCCACTGGTTTCAGAATGCAATAGATTGATGTGTGCATGTGCACATCCATTAGATAGACCAGACAACTATTAACTATCAGAGAACCATAGAGAACCATTGCGAGACATCTATCCAAACCATTCCGATTTCTGGACCTGCTGGAAGAAAAATACAGAAACAAAACACACACCCAGAGGTCTTCTTCACCCAAAGGTCCCCTTAGTGAGGCGTGTATATCACAGATGGGTGAAGATTCAAGGACAGCCTTGCTGAGAGATGTCGGTCACCCAAAGCTGTAAGCCGTATCTAATACTGGTCAATGCACAGTTTGCAACCCCTGGTAAAAGAGAAACCTAGCTACAACCAATTGTTGGGGGTCTTCCTGTTATTTTCATTTATTTTCTATAGACTTGCTTAGTAAGTGCTGCAATGTCATTGTCGCTGAGATCAATGTGTTTGTGTAGGTGGCAACCAGCGTTTCTTGACATTGGTACGGTCGTTCCACTCCGGGAACTGTTCATCTTTGGTTCGTAAAAAGCTGCATAGCTCGACTCAGATTGTCAAGAAACAATCAAGAGATCACTTTAAAATGTGCAAGGCTGATGAATGAGATCTACTTCTGGCAGCACCAAGATTGTGA